TTGGCTGAGCTCAGCCCACGGGTAGTGCGCCCAGGGTCTGATACACGGTGGTTGCATGCCCTGAAGCCTGAGCGGTAGGGGTCTATGCTCCCTCTCTCGCCTGAGATATGGCTGGGTCTATTGAAAATAAACCAGCCTGAGTCATAGAATCCATGCACCGCAGCATACGGCACATGACCTCTTGGAATCCTGGCACGGACATGAAATCCGCTTGGGGGTGGCTCCGCTGCAGGCACCTCGCCCTGCTCCTCAATAATAGGATCCTATACTGGATCAGCTGGTGGCATAACTTGGGCAACTCTAGGACGCCCTCGTCCTCTACCACGAGCTGGAGCCCTCACTCGGCCTATGCCTCGGCCTCTAGCAACAAGGGGAGAAGCTCATCCATGATCAGGTACACCTGTCGCGTGCGTTCTCACCATTTGTGAGAGAATAAGAGAAAGATACTTAGCACAACATCAACTACACGATAAGAGATGAAAAAAGAGTAGTTTCCTAACACCCTATAGCCTCTCGAAGATAAGTACGAATATCTCCGTACCGATCTGCAAAACTCTATTAGGCCTACTCATAACTTGTGAGACCTACGTAAACCTAGTCCTCTAATACCATGTTGTCACGATCCAATTTCCCCTATAGGCCGTGATGGCGCCCAACGTCGCCGCTAGGTAAGCCAATGGTGAACTAATCCATGTTATTTCTCTTTTTAATAAGTTTCTAAGTAATTAAATTCTATTTATTAAGAAATTAAGGAATAGAAAATTTAATAAATAAAACGAAGACAACTGAGTGGCAATCATAGTGATATAAGTACTCCAAAACTATAAAGTCTACTAGTATGTGTGTCAAGACCTAGTGTCATAAGTGTATGAGCAACTAGTAGATTATACAAAACTCTAACTACTGTCTGAAATAAAAATAGACAGAAAATAAGTACAAAGAGAGACTCTAGGTGTTGCAGGACGGCTCAGGAAGCAGCTCACCACTAGGCCTCAGGGTAACGCGGGTGCGCGTCGGTAAGACTGCCAGATACACCTGTCTCAAATCCTGCACCGTTAGTGCAGAAGTGTAGCGTGAGTACATAAACAACATGTACCCAGTAAGTATCTAGTCTAACCTCGAAGAACTAGTGACGAGGGGTCGACATCGACACTTACTATGGGCTAACAAGAAAAACACATGAATTCTAAATAAGCATGAGTTATATACATAATAATATTATCTCAATAACAACCAGAAAATAAATAATTCTTTCACTAATGGTAAATCCCAAGTCAGTTTATGGCATATGAAATTTTAACCTCTCAAGCCATAAAATAATATCAAATATAATTAAACTCCGAGTATTTTCACGCACGATTATGTCGAAGTCATACGGCCCGATCCAGAAATATACTGTGTGCACTGCCGAGGGTCGTACGACACGAACCATAGATGCATCTATTAACCTGCCGAGGCAAACGACCCGCTCCCATGAGAGTAGAGAAATTTACCTCGCTCGCGCAAATACTTGCGACGCGAGTGAACATGGATTTATCAGAGTTATTATAAAATTCTTCAATTCTTCCCAAACATAATAAATCCAAACTGGAGACTTTAAATCTTAAAATCCCTAATCTCAGCTCTATTTAAGACAATTAATATGCATAATCAACATAACAGGGCAAACGAAGCATGATGTAAATCTAAAACTACCCGGACGTCATATGAAATTTAGCTACGCACGGACTCTCGTCACCTAGTGCGTATGTAGTTCCCCACACAAGTAATTCACAACAAATACACCTAAGGGGATGAGTTCCCTCTTACAAGGTTAGGCAAAAGACTTACCTCGTTCTCAAGCTCACTTCTGGTCCACAAATATGCTTTAAATCCTCAACTCGGTGCCAAACAACCCGAAACTAGTCAAATGTTATATAAATTAATCAATATGTGTTCAAAAGTTCATAATTTAACTATTAGAGTAATTACCCAACCCAAATTGGAAGATTCCAAAAATTTACCTGCGTGCCCGGATTACGAAAATTTTCGAAGATAAATGTTACCCATAACCTCACGATTTCAAATTTAATTTTCACTCAACCCCATAACCATTTTCGTGGTTAAATCACATTTTTATCAAAACCTAGATTTGTTCATCTAAACCCATAATTTTTATAATTTTACATGTTAAAATCTACCCATAATCTATGTATTTAATTTATATTAGGTAGAAATTACTTACCTCCAATAGATAGGTGAAAACCCCTCTCTAAGAGCTCTAAAATCGCCCAAGGAATGCAATAAATGAACCCAAAATTGTCTAAGTCCCGACTTAAATGAAGCTCACTGTCTCTAGCACTTCCGCTTCTGCGGCTCCATGGTCGCATCTACGGCACCGCTTCTGCGGACAAAGCCTCGTAAATGCAGACCATGCCCGAGTCTGCCCTTCCCGCTTCTGCGGGCGAGCTCGCTTCTGCGGCACGAGCACCGCACCTGCGCACCAGCCCGGTTCTTGCGTTCCCTTCCTCACATCTGCCCTTTCGCAGATGCGGCCCCTCTCCTCGCTTCTGCGACCACTGGGCAGCCCACTCTTTCTCACTTCTGCGGTCATTGGCTCGCTTCTGCGAGCTTGCACCTGCGGCTGGTCCTCCGCAGGTGCGATTGCACCAGAAACTTGATGCTTCAGCTATTCATCCCAAGTCAAATGAGTTATGTGCCTTGTCCGAATGGCATCCAGGGCCTCCGAGGCCCCGTCCAAACATACCAACAAGTTTGAAATCACGAGACGGACTTGCTCGAACCCTCGAAACGCGAAAAATAACACCAAAACTAAGAATCACACCCCAAACCATATCGAATCAACTTATAAACTTCAAGTTCTTCCAATATGCTCTGAACGCGCCGAATCATACCTAAACTACTCGGAATGACACCAAATTTTGTGCACAAGTCTTAAATCACCATACGGAGCTATTCCCATGCTCGAAATCCCAAACGGACCTCGATAACACCAAAAGCTACTCCAAACCAAATTTAAAAAACTTTCAAACCTTCAATAAGCCAACTTTCAACTTTAGTCACTGAAACGCTCCCGGGTCATCCAAAATTACGCCCAAGTCCAAAATTATCATACGAACCTATTGGGACCGTTAAATCCCGATCCCGAGGTCGTTTACTAAAAGTGTAGACCCAAGCTAAACTTAACCCTTTAAAGCCAATAACAGGGAACTAAGTGTTTCGATTTTAACCCGAACTTCTCTAAACCCGAACCAATCACCCCCGTAAGTCATAAAACAGTAAAAGCACATACGTAGTACTAGCACTTTCTTGTTTACTTTCAACATTATTATGGTTGGTAGTAGCGATATATTGTAATAGCAGTTTTAATGATAATTTTGTAATATGTTGGAGTTGAAATTAATAGTTTTGATCATTTATACTGAAAAAAATTGTGGTCATCTGATTGGTTTATTGTAAATCTGAAGAATTTGTGTAACAGTATGAATTTCCATACATGATGAAGCTGATATTTACATAGGGGTGAATACAAAATTTTAACTTGATAGTTTCACTTTTAAGGTGAATAATATTAAACTTATTGCACTTTTAATATTTGTTTCAAGTTTTTATACATTTTACGTACAAATTCATATAATTATCGAAAATAATTAATTCAGATAAATTCGATGATGACACATATGTATCCGTCCCCGTATGTACAGGATGAATTCACATATAGGACTCCCAACATTACACCTGAGAGTTGATATCACCCTGTAGCTGCTGAAAATTCACTTTGGCTTCCTATAGAAAAGTAATTTACGAAAATTTAATTTTCTGTTGACTAATGACAAAAAAATGAGGCAAATGTAACATGTAAAGTATATGGAAACGGAATAGTGTAAGTTCATGGCAAAATACATAATATACTCATCGATCTTGTAGTCAAATCCCTATTATTCACTCGCATATTCTACACATATAAGAGGCGAGCGGAGAGTTAAAATTTTGTATCTAAACCCTCATTTTGACGTTTGTCCAGCATTTTCATTTTTTTTTATTTTTCTGAATTATTTTCTTCATTTTTTAGAAAAGAATCCACCATTTCTCACCTTCTTCCATTACTGCACCATCACTTTCTTCAACTATCACAGCACCAGATATTTTTGCCAAGACCTAAAGTAGGAGAGTAAACAAAAAAATCATATTTTTTTTATTTGAGCACTCATTGGCAATTGATTTTGGCTATGACTTGTTCAAATTATCCAATTTGGCATTTGTTTCAAGATTGGGTGGGTTTCATATTAAGCTTTTGGTTGATTTCATCTTTTTACGACACCACTAATTTCTAAAAAAAAATCCACAAGCAAATTATGGATTTTATTACATGGCTGGGATATTCAATGTGGCGAAAAATGAAGAGTAATGGTGGAGTATGTGAAAAAGAAGATGAAGATAAATGGTAAATTTATACGGGTGGGTGATGGGTCTTGGAATTGGGAAGGATGGTGTAGTAGGTCTTTGGTATTTTTCATCAATCTATTAATGTTGATTAATGAACCGATGCTAGTATAGAATTACTTGGCTTGTTGTGGGGGGGGATGAATATAATTGTAATTTTAAGTAGTTCCTTTTTTAAAAAAAATTTAAAATACATGCCACGTTATTATTGGTGCTTGACCACTTGCCGAGAAAAAAGTAGTCAAACATCAGAGAGAGGTATATATTAGACATACTCTGAAAATGTTGATTGCGTAAAAGGTTACCCGTATTAGACAAGTGTGTCATAAAGATTTGGCTATTAGGTAAACTATGTATTTACTTTATTGAATGGTTAACATTAGATAGCGATGTTAGTCTAAAGAAATAATTACGTGGTCAGCGTGCATACCCTTATTCATTGGTCTCTTTCCTCAAATAAGCACTCCAACTTGGCAGCTAAGCACATGGACGACCAATTAAACATTAATGTAATCAAACATGCAGCATATAAGTTGCAGATGACTACTTTAGACAGATAAATTGAAGGCACAAGGAATTTATTTCGCATCATATCTGTGTCTGTAGACAAATTGCATAAAAAGATAAAAGGGTATGAAACTCCAGCCAAAGCAAAAAACAGCCAGGCGTTATATAGAGACATAATATAAGGTATAGTCATAAGTTCCTTCTCTAGAAGGCAGAAAATGATTCAGTGAAACAAGCAAAAACATTTATCAGTTACCCTTTTGCAACAACAGAAACCCAAAAAGCACGCGTCAAAGTTCATCTATCACTTGACTGTAACAATCTTGATCACAGATGCAGTTCCAACACGGTGTAGGGCTACAACGGAGTCTCCTTGCTTGCATAACCCTTTTGTTTTGGCATGTTGAAGAGCAAAGTCCAGTGCTTCTTCTGTAGACTCTTCATGAGAAGCCCTAGCAGATCCTGCATGGAGAACGGGAACCAATCCCCTGAATATAAGGCTATGCCTTGCTGGAGACTCGTCACTGCAAGTCCAATCAAAAGAATCAGTTTTGATCTCGGGGACAACCACCGACAATATAGGCATTCCAGGTCTGTACTTGGCCACCAATTTTGCAGTACTTCCTCCCCTGGTTAACACTAGGATAAGAGCAGCTTTTGCAGAGTTAGCGGTTCGAACAGCAGAAGATGCAAGGCTCTCCAATGGGCTCATGGGAACTGGGGCATTTGACATAATTCTTTTGAAAACATCTGGATAATCAATTGTGCTTTCTGCTTCAATACAAATCTTAGCCATGGTACCCACTGCAAGATCAGGGTAAGCTCCAGCAGCTGTTTCACCACTAAGCATGACACAGTCTGTGCCATCAAGAACAGCATTGGCAACATCTGTTGCTTCTGCACGAGTTGGCCTTGGAGATTTGATCATGGACTCCAACATCTGTGTTGCTGTGACAACAGGCTTCCCTTGGATGTTGCACTTGTAAATCATTACCTTTTGAGCCAAAAATATCTTCTCAATTGGAATTTCCATTCCCAGGTCACCTCTTGCCACCATAAATGCATCAGAGTTGAGAAGAATGTCATCAAAATTCGCTACACCTTCCTGGTTTTCAACCTAACAAGAAGAAAAGCATTTTAAGAGTATTTTGACTGTTTATCCAAGTTCGAGAGTCTAATTCAGTAATGTCTAGGGATAAAAGGAAAAAGTTACTGCTCATCCAACTCACACTGTCTATATCTTTTTATGTCTATTTAAAAATCCAACTAACAAGCTAATGTTGCCAACAATTGAAATATTCTGGTAATGCTTAATCCAGATCAGACAGAAGAGAGAAGGATAGATTAGTACTACTAGTTTAGTTCCAACTCATGATAATATTTCTTCAATTCTTGGGAAAAGGAGTCAGATTAAATCTATCATTTAATTACATTTCTGCAAAATTAGTGTGCTGTGTATGACTCTCAAGTACCACGAAAGTCATCTACAAACACAAAACAATGATGCAATAAAGTGAATAGGCAACTTCATGGAGAAAAAATTAGACTACATAGTTAGCTGGTCAGAAGCAAACCTTAGACATCAGAAGAATGTTCTTTGCATGTTCACCTAGCAGCTTCCGAACCTCCACGAGATCTGAACCCTTACGAACAAAAGATAACGCAATCATGTCAATATGATTCGGAACTCCCCAGTTTAAAATGTCATCCTTGTCTTTATCTGTCAATGTTGGCAGATCCACAATTACTCCCGGGAGATTGACATTCTTTCTTTCACCAAGAACAGCAGTGTTCTCACAGCGGCATCGTACCAAACCGTTCTCTTTGTCACAAGACAAAACTGTAAAGGTGATTGTGCCATCTGCACAGAGGATCACACTTTGTGGCTTTACGTCCTCTGCTAACTTTTTGTAGCTCATGCATATCATACTCTCATCACCTTTAATGCTGTAATCAGTTGAGATTGTGATCTCCTGACCCTGTTTAAGTTGAACAGGCTTAGCATCTTTTAAAAACCCTGTTCGAATTTCTGGACCCTACAAGATGAAAATGAAGTGTCAGAACTTTCACATAAAAAGGTTAAGGCAAGACAGGGCTAGGCAATCATATATCATGCTTAGCAAGTGCAGAGTTCAACATCTAAATGAACATATTGCATTGTCACTAAACATCACTGAAGAATCTTATTACATGATATGGAACGTGCTGATCTTGAATACAACCAGGGCAAAAAGATAAGCACAAAATTATGTACAAGGAACTATGATAAATGAGTTGAAGATGAGTCAGAGTATCATCACCTTACTCTCTTGATAAACAAAGAATAAAACTTCAATAAAAATTTCAAGAAATTTATTATTTTTCAAGGAAATGGCTTTCTCCGAGAAATGATGGAGTAGAGTTCCAGTCAACATGAGGTGCCAACTGATATCTTCTATCAAGTTTGATGCCTTAAGTTTACAAAGCCATCAATATGGTCCAGTTGAGTTGAGATTTTTATAAAAAAAGGAATGCCGAATAAGACAATTTATTAATACCACACACAAGGCAACAATAACCAACTATCACATATATAGTATCCAATATCAAAGTTTTCTTTTCTGATTGGTTATAATATCTAATTTCCAATTAATGTGTATTTCCAACGAGATTAAAATAGACATCATATTGCGAATCTTACATTCTAGTATCCACCACTTAGAGTGTCAATTACTTCATATCATGTTCACCACTTAGAGTGTCAATTACTTCATAGTTCATATCATGCTTAACAAACATTCTAAATCAGTATGATATTCCATTAGAGCATTTATACTTTCTCCTCTGTTACTACATAGCTATTTAACTTAGCAACCTTGCCTGACACCCATGTATGCTTCCATAAGGATCATTCAAACTGACGCAGAGTATATTTATAATTTTGAAGTAATATGGTCGAAGAACACGACACATGCTGTCACATCTAGACGTGATCTTAAGGAAACGTTTAAAATAACTAAAATATCAAAAAGAGTTGACATGCCAAGAACAACTCAGTCCTACACTTGTTAGTAGATATCGGGGCTATATTACTACTCACTACTCACCTGTAGCAAATCCGTCTTTCACATACATAAGTTAGTCCATAGGACAATCATTTCCCAAGGTCACTAACACCAATAGTAGCGGGAATGCCTATTGTAATGAAGCAAAAGAGCATCAATGTTTTTATCCATTACTTCTGGACAGGGGAAGATTAATATTCACTAACATAAAATGCAACACAATAGCCACATACAAGCTCAACTAGGAGACTGACTGTTTGAGCTACTGCATAAATGAAAAAGATGCGCTAAGCCTTGTATTTAGCTTTCATTATAAAGCAGTGATAAAACCCCAGAAAATACTCATAATTCAGAACATAATGGCCCATCTGTGTTTAAATGGAGGGAGTTCCTCAGCCCAAAGCTCAGAGATTGAACTTCAAATTGCAGACAGCACCACAATTAACTTCCCTAAAAGAATACATCTCACCAACTGTCTATATACAGTTCTTGGAGTGTTGATTTTATAGAATTGAGAAAATCCAAATTTTCCAATACAACCTCGAGCATACAATTGCTCCTACTAGTCCGCAGAGTATCAATAATACACCAAATTTCAACAGTCCAACCTCTCCATGTCATGTAATCACAACAATTAAGCCTCAACCCCAAACTATTTGAGATCAACTATATGAATAGTCAATATCCATCCTGCTCTCTTTGGACCCATTACACTAAAATACAAGAAAATGAAACACAATACGAAAAGGGGACAAAAACCACGGTTTTCAGCCAGCAAAAGGCACATAAAGTACAAAATCACAATACAGACAAACAACATCAGGGTCTGTTGGTATAAAAGTAGCACTTAACCAAATCAAAGATCAAACAATCAACAACTCATATAATACCACTCACTAAATAGCAACAATCCACTTCTGTTACCCAGTTTACTATCCCAGAGGGGCGGAAGTACAATTAAAGCTATCAAAACACATTAGCACCCTATACATGTGTTAAAAAACTTACTGTACAAATATTAAATTTAAAATATACTGTACAAATATTAAATTTCAAACCCAGTAACCCAAACGATCAGTGCTATTCCGAAACCATGAGTTAAAATACTGGATACGCCTCTGCAGCCCACAGTTATCTTATGACACGATCTTACGGCTTCTATTAGTAATTCTGACAATTTTCTACAGTGATAAATAAATATACATACATAGATGTAAAGAAAATTATACTACCTTGGTGTCAAGCATAACGGCACAGAGAATACCGGTACTCTCCATAGCTTGACGGAGATTGTCAATAGTCTCCTGATGATAGTCGTGAGATCCATGAGAAAAGTTGAATCGGGCCACGTTCATGCCTGCCCGTAGAAGCTTCTCGATCATCGGCACCGATCGAGATGCTGGCCCCAAAGTACATACTATCTTCGTCTTCGGCCTCTTCACCGTACAAAAATTCACTCCATTGTTGTTATTCTCAATCGCCATAGCAGAGAATTTTAGTTTTTTTTCAAACGAAAAGAGGAAACTGAAGGAGGAGACTTTTGTAGAGTGACCTCTTTGATTAATTAAAAAATAGGGTTAATAGTGTATGGTGGGAGGGGAGAGAAGGAATAGGTCTAACAAGTGTTGCGTTGTCCAAACGAAGGCGAGATCTTGGAGAATATATATAAGAAAACGGAAACAGTGCGGACTTGACGTGATGTTGAAATTTTCTTTCGTTTGTTTTATTTTTTTCTCTTTCGTTTCTCTCGATCTATGCTTTTTGGTAGTATTAAATTAAAATTATTATAATTATAATAAAAATAAATGTTCATTTTTACTTGGTATTTCACGTATATCGAGAAGACAATAATTTTTTTTTATTTTACCCATAGTATTTATTACCATTTTAAATTATTTTCTTAAATTTAATAAAATATGCATTAATTAATATGGGTAACATAATAAATTATACACTTTATTTATTATTTTTAAGGGATGTAAAAAGTCAAAACATGTCAAATAAAAGTGACAGGAGAGAGGGAGTAATATTTGTAGGGACTATATTCTTGAGACACAAGGTATTTATTTTTCCTTTTCCCGTCTTTTTATATTGGGAGCAGAGCATAGCATGTGGCCTTTTTATTCTTGTTCTTGTTATTCCTTCTTAATTCTTCTTCTCTTTAATGGCGCGGTTTCCAATTCTATTTGTCTTGGGTAACAAGTCAGTTTCAATAAAAGGTCTTCCTTAAACTTCATTTTATTTGTTAACAAAATTTATTTAGTTTAAATATTATTTTAAATTTTTATTCTTAAATTAAATGTGCGTATAACATTTTAAAAATATAATACTATAAACTTTATGGTCTAATAGCTACATCATTGATTATAGGAGTCTATGGCCACTGTTCAGTTGGGCATAGGAAGATTTATAGGTTATTTTTGCTCGGTCTTTGTCTCTAGAGTCCATAGAGAGGTAGACTTTGTACATGTTGACTTTTGTATAAATATAATTTTTTTTTGACAAAGCAAAAGTAGAATTATTTTAAAAGTAAAAAGAATAATGAAATTAATAGCTTACATAAAGGTAATATTTATTTTTAAAAATAAATTAAAAAGAAAAGTAAGACATAAATGAAAATAATAGTAGTCAATTTAATTCATGAGGAGTATTTTATGTGATATTATTATTAAAAAATTAAATATGTCTTTTACCATTTTTTTTAATATTTTAAATTATTAATTAATATTATTGCATTATTTTTATGTAATTTTTAAATATAAAAATTTTATCTGAAAATATTTAAAGAATTTATATCTGAATTCATGCTGAAAATCAAGTAGTTTATTCTTGCTTTAACTCTACCACATAAAAAGAAAAAAAGGAAGAACTAAATAAGTCTCTAGGTTTTTCGGAAAGGGTAACAAGGTTTTTAAGATAAAAAAAAAAAATAGTATCCGTTTGGCAATATTTTTGTTGAAATTGAAAAAAAGTATTAAAGTTAGATTGACGTAGAATTCACTTCGAATTTTTTTCTAATTGTAAAAATTGAACTTTTGTGAAAATTAAGACTTTACTTGAAATACATATTCGGATCAGTACCATACAATTGCACTTGAACTTCAACTGATGCTTCATTTGAAATCGAAAATTTTATGGCTAAATACTATTTGCAAATTTGAAATATTAATAGCAACGAGGCCTTAATCTTGCATCTTATTCTAAAGCATATTCTTGACCTAACAAAAGAATATATTTATGCTTTCAGCTAATCTTGTAATCAAGCGCACTTATCGTGGAATGCAACAAGGAAATATTTATCTATAGTAGCTAAAAAGTTCAAAAGTTAATTGGTGCAAAGAAAAAAGAAAAAAGAAAAATATAGAAAGTGGGTGTGGGTTCTTTAGAATATCACCAAATCCTTAGATTGATTCTATTCTTCTATATTTACTTGACCACATAGTGTATGCGCGTGTATTCTCATATCTTTCCAATAAGTTATTATTTCAAATACAATAGTTGTATCAATTTGTACGCATCTTAATTATATTGAGTATACTATTTTTCAGTAGGAATATTAATCAATTCGATTCATCAAAATTTAAGAATATGAAATAATATCATTTAGCACTTTGTATCTTTGTTCTAATTTTTACAATGATCCTCTATAATTTTTATTTTATTGATCACGGACCACGCCCTTAATATTAAGAAAAGAAAAAGAAGAAGAAAATGACATTTTAATAAGTATTTTATGCATGTCAATGGTATTAACTAGTCCATCTAGCTCATAGTTCTAAAGAACAAAGATTAAGGCAAAAAATGAGAGGTGAGGGAATGTGTGAAAGGAGGCACCGCACCCTTTTTGAGCATCTTGTTTATACCAATCCTGCGGCTAAATTGCTAATCCTAAGAAAATGTTTGTTGGTTTGTTTGTTCTTTAATTATTTTTTAAAACATACTACTTCATCCGTTTCAAATTAGATGAGGTACTTTCCTTTTTAGTCTGTTTCAAAATAAATGGCATATTTCTAAATTTTGAAATAATTCAATTTTAATCTTTTTATTTTACCCATTTTATCCTTAATGAGAAGCTTTTATAACCACACAAATGATATGGCCCCACAAAGCTTTTACTCCTTAAGTTTTTAAGACCACAAGTTTTAAAAGTCTTTTTCTTTTTTTTTAAATTTCGTGCTGAGTCAAACTACATCATTTAAATTGAGACGGAGGGAGTATTAATAAGGAGTAAAAAGACGTAAACAATGATTGTTAGGAGATTAACGAAATTTAAACACGTCAATCTGAGTTGTCCTCTAGAGAGAAAATATATTTACTTTTGTCTTCTTCTTTTGTATTTCCAATTTAAACGTGTCTTGAATAAAATGTTAGTTTCAATTAACTGAAGTATATTTGTCAATACATAAGAGACAATGTTGAATAATTAAGAAGTTATTTCCATTTATGGTTTAACCTTTAATTTTTCAAAGGTCATAGTGTAATATTCATTTTGTTTTTTCTTTTCTTTCATCCAGAATGTTTGAAATGAAATTTAGATTTTTATAATACTATTTGAAGTTTTCTTGAATTCTTTAGTTAACATAACTATTATTAAGTAATAAAATTCATGTGAAATAATGTATGCACAGGATAAGTTTTTTAAAATTTATTTTTATCTTTACATACCATCTTTTAGCCTACTATTCCATCATGCTTTGCAATCAAGATACAAAATTGTGGAGTTTAATTGTAGAACTATAATCAACTAATTTGAATATTTGTAAAGTAGTGAAATAGAAAAGGCAAAGAGTACGTATGGATTTCTTTAAGTTCCATTGGTTCGTAATAATAACTTAACGGCTACTTATAGTATTTGTTAGGATCGGGAACCTGGGTAGTGTGAAATTTAGCAAAACAACGTTATAATGACAATAACAAAGACAATGCAAGTTGATAATAACGGAAATTAAAGTAGATAAAGAAGACACCAATTTAACGTGTTTCGGTCAATGTGACCTACGTCCACAAGCGGGGAGGAGCAATTTTACTATACCAATATATAAGAGTACAAAAAAAAGTACAAAATTAGAGTAAATACTTTAATTAATCCCAAATACCCTAAGAGAATAACCTCACAAGATCACTCCAAAGAAAGGGTTCACACAAGTGCTTCCCAACACTCAACTCTCATACAAAACACTCTTAATAAAGGAGGAAAGGCAGAAACAAGAAATGAAGACTCAAGTCTTGTTGGTGTATCTAAAATGAACTAATGGCCTTTTCTTTTATAGGCAAAAAAGTCTTGGCCTCTTAGGTGTAAAAGAAGAGATATAACTTGTGCAAATGATGTCCACCACATAATGCAATATTTTTGGGTCCCAAAGAATATTGCCAACAAAATCTACACTTTTCAAATATGCTTATACTTATTTGAGATGGACTCCATTAGCCAAAATATTAGTTATATTACAAATCTCCACCTTGGCCTAATTTTGGTTGATATAATAAATTTGCTCTACCCTTTTCGCAAAAGCCCCAATGGGCATATAACAAAATTTAATGCCATCAAAATCAGATAAATTGTCTGATACCGAAACTGTAGTAGGGCCTATAACAGTGGATCCCAATAAAGTATACAACGAACCAAATATGTGTGCTTTCATGATCACAAGAGCACCTTGAAATATTTTTACAACTCCACATTCACCAGTGAATTTGCACCCAAGGGATTCTAAAGTGCCCAAAGAGATGAGATTTTTCTTCAACTCAGGAACATATCTAACATCGGTGAGAGTTCTCACCACACCATCGTGCATTCTGATTCGAATTGTACATTTGCCAATAACGTTACAAGTAACATTGTTACCCAGTTGGACAACTCCACCTGCAACTGAATCATATGTAGAAAATAAGTCCCTGCTAGGACACATATGATATGAACAACCGGAATCTAAAATTCATTCATTGTCTAATCTGAAACTAGTTTCAGTTGCTAAAAATATAGTTCCCTCAATCTCATCAGTTGCTACACTAACTTCGGTGGTGTCAGTATTTTTGTGCTCATCTTTTCTTTCTTTATGCTTTTCTTTATTTTTCAGTTTATAGCATTCAGAGATAATGTGACCTTTCTTATGACAATAGCGACACTCTAAATTATTGTATCTGGATATGGAGTCGGATTTGCCCCTAACAAACAAGTAAACTTCCGCTTGAGTTCCACTAGCTTCCTCGATAATATCACTATCTATTTGTTCTTTTGATTTTAAGATAGATTTAATGTCCTTATAAGAGATATTATCCTTTGCATAAAGCATAGTATCTCTTATATGCTAAAAAGATAGAGGTAGAGAACAAAACAGTAACACAACTTGATCCTCATCTTTAGTTTCAGCATCTATATTACTCAAATCCATAAGAATGAAATCAAAGGTGTCAAGATGAGAGAGAATAGAGGTACCTTCACCCATACGAATTGTATAAAGCTTCTACTTAGGGTAAAGTCTATTTTCCACCGTCCTCTTTATATATAAGGTTTTCAATTTTTTCTATATGCCTTTGGCTGTGGTTTCTACAGAAACTTTACGTAAAACCTCATTTGAGAGATTTAAGATGATACCTGATTTTGCCTTTTTATCTATGATGGCAAACTCCTCGTCCGTCATTTTATCCGACTTTTTCTCCTTTCCTTGCAACGTCAAGTCTAAGCCATCCTGAATTAGGATAACTTTCATCTTTAATTACTATATTCCGAAGTTTGCACTTCGGTCAAATTTCTCAATATAGGTCTTTGTTAGAGTCATTTTGGCTATTGAAACAAACTCGGTTAGATTCGGCTCTGATACCAATTTGTTAGGATCGGGAACCTAGTTAGTGCGGAATTTAGCAAAATAACGTTATAATGACAATAACAAAGACAATGCAAGTTGATATTAACGGCAATTAGAGTAGATAAAGAAGATACCAATTTAATGTGGTTCAGTCAATGTGACCTACGTCCACAAGTGGAGATGAGCAATTTCACTATAGCAATAAGAGTGTAAAAGAGAGTACAAAATTAGAGTAAATACTCTAATTAATCCCAAATACCCTAAGAGAATAACCTCACAAGATCACTCCAAAGAAAGAGTTCACACAAGTGCTTCCCAACACTCAACTCTCAAACAAAACACTCTTAATAAAGGAGGAAAGGAAGAAACAGAAAATGAAGATTCAAGTCTTGTTGGTGTGTCTAAAATGAACTAATGGCCTTCCCTTTTGTAGGCAAAAAAGTCTTGGCCTCTTAGGTGTAAAAGAAGAGATACAACTTTTGCAAATGATGTCCACCACACAATACAATATTTTTGGGTCCCAAAAAATATTGCCAACAAAGTCTACACTTTGCAAAGATACTTATGCTTATGTGAGATGGACTACATTAGCCAAAATATTGACCATATTACAATATTCATATACCACTAAGAGTTGTGGTGGGATAATAAAATTCTTGATATGTTCGATTCAAACTCGGGATATGAGAATACTCCTGATAGAAAACACTTTCCTCTGATAGGCCTTACACAACAGAAGTCCTAATTAATCAGATCTTGAAAATGGGTATCAAATATTGAGTGAAAAATTAAAAAAATATATAGCTGTAAAAATGGAATGTAAGTTGTCGAGGGGGCAAATGTAACCAAAGGGATCAAGACAGTAGATTGCGAATCCACCATGCGCGGATTCAATTTTCGTTGTTCGCCCATAATTCATAAATATTAGATAAATGATTAGCTACAAGCCTACAAAGCAATTTTCTTTAGTGAACATGTTACAAGCAAATGAAGGAAAGCTCTTCAAGCTTCCGGGTGAGCCTACGTTTACTCCTGGTCTCTTTGATCGGACAGACGAACTAAGCCTTTTACTTTAAGATTCAATTCATAAGGCTAGTTTTATATTGTCGTAAGGTTTTGGTTAGACCGATTTCTATAGGCTAGCTACTTCTAAGTTTTAACTTTATAATGGCCCTTCCACTTTGGTGTAGTTTTAATTTATATTGGTACAGAATGAAATTATTGCATTATGTTTGATTCTTCCATGTTTTTGGCTGCATAGTACACGCTGTTGTACTTTCATACGCTTATTAATAAGTTATTACGGTTGTGTGCTTTAAGCACCTACTCCACTTTGTGTTTAAAGCATAATTAGTGATACATGCAATCAAATAAACAAATTAACAGAAGCTTATACAATATTTGATCGGGGTTTGAAAATATTTATAACTTATTTGGCCAAGTTTCTTCCAAGTCAAAAGCACTTTTTTGTAAAAAAAAAATATTTTTTTTTCAAATTTGAAGTATTTGGTCAAATTTTTAGAAGAAAAAAAAAGTATTTTTGAGGAGAAGCAGAAGCAGAAAAAAATAATTTCTCTCCAAAATCACTTTATTTGAAAAGTATTTTTGAGAAAAATACACTTATAAGCTATTTTTAAAAGCTTGGTCAAACACTAAATTGCTGCGCGGAAGTATTTTTCAAGTTAATTAGCCAAACACAAATTGCTTCTCATCAAAAATACTTTTGAGAAAATCACTTTTAAGAAAAAGTATTTCTCAAAATAATACTCCTTCCGTTTCAATTTATGTGAACCCATTTGATTGAGTACAGAATTTAAGAAAGGAGATAAGACTTTTGAACTTGTGGTATAAAATGAGGCACATATGTTTTGTGTGGTTATAAATCATTGCATAAAGGTAAATTGTTTCCAAATAAGAAAAAAGGTCATTCTTTTTGTCACGGACTAAAAAAGAAATAATTTCACATAAATTGAAACGGAGGGAGTATAATTTTTGCAGCTTGGCCAAACAAGCTATTAATCTTCACATTGAAATTAACATTAATTAATATAATATTTTGTTACTTCGTTATTGTTGAGCTGAGCTTAAATTGATTTTAATCATTAACAAATTATTGTCAAAGAACTATGTCTCTTAAAGATATTTGTTGTACTAACAAATAGTGTTGCAGATGTGTCAAGCAGATATCAAAAGAACCAGGTCTCTTGGAGTATGATGATCAGGAGTTGCAAATTGATTCCTAATGCAAGTAGTATTCCTTGAACGATTTATTTTGTGGGCTACAATTACTGTACCAACCGAAAAAATTTGCGAGCAATAAGGATTCATTAATATTGGTACGCTTGCATAAAAGAAAAAAACCGGATGAAGTTGGAGATAATTAAGGAAGCCAAGTCCTAAGAGGATTATTTTTCTTAACCGAAATATTTCAGGTTTTGGAGCTAAAATTGAAGAAGCTTTTGGCCAACCTTACTCCTATAAAATCATCGCGTTGCCGCTACTGAAGACTCCACTATTTCATAGTTCTACCGTAAAATCACTCACATCAAATAGCAATCAAAGCAAGGCAATGCATTCTGGATTCAAACTGCTCAACCGAAAAATCTAATACGAAGAAAAAGGTGTCTAGTTCTTTAGCTATTTGAGTCTGAGTCATTGTTCTTACTATTTTGCTTTTGAGAAATTTAATCGTAGGTAAATAATTCTGAAAATTTATTTTGAAGTTTTAGACTAAAATTTATAGTCTAGGAGAGATAGCTACAACTTAGTTGATTTTAGGAATTAAGGCGGTAGAATTTACAGTCCCTTGATTATTGAGTTATAATAGAAAAACTAGTCTTGTTGTTTAGTGAAATTTGAAAAAATTCTATACGGATAAGTCGTAATTTTTACTCCCTTGATTAAGGAGAGTTTTCATGTAAAATTACTTGTGTTTTTAAGTTTCTGCACTGTACTTGGTGGTTGGTATTATTAATGTATTATTTATGCCGGATAAAACGTTAAATAAGAATGATGATATTGTCATGGATTAAAATGCTAAAATGACCTAACTAACCAACATTATTCTAAGAATAAAAATAATTTTTATTTTTTTTAAAAAGTAAATAAATATTTTATACTATGCATTATATACTAATATGTAATACATCAAACTAAACATGCAACAAGAAAATAATCTCTGCATTATATAATTCTTATATTACTAATTATTGTATTATTATCTTTATATTACTAATCCATGCATAACTCGATTCTGAACTAAACGATTCCTAAAATAATTTACTCGAATCTCTTTCGTCAAAAAGTTTAATTACACAAATAGTTTATATATAATTATTTTTGTATATATTAATTGGTGAATTATTTGACACAAAAAAAAGCATCTAGCATGGTAGTAAAAATTACTCAAAAATTACTTTTATTTAACTGGTAAATGTGAAAAATATTTCTAGTGATATAACGATTTTGCTCCTTTTTGTTTTTTGTTTTTTTTTTTGGAAATTCTTATTACAATTACTGGCTCATTCACGAGTGACAGACAGCGCCTTTTTTGAGCATCTTGTTTTGTAACAATTCAGCAGCTAATATCATAACAGTTGGTTTATTCTTTTCTTTTTCTTTTCAACTCTTCCTACGAGGGATTGTGAAAGAAAAGTGGGACAAAGGGACAAAGGAGGGATGATGAGTCAAATCTTACAACCACCGAATTATAAAGAAGTCAGACCTTAGGTGCCATCATTTGAAAGCTAAGCTATAGGTTCTATTTTCTAGAAACTAGGACGAGTTGCTANTAGAGAAATTATAAATTCTCTTTGTATTTGCTGGATAAAAATGCTGAATTTCAGCTGAACCAGTAGATGAAAGAATTAACTCATAATTCATTATGTATTTGTATGCAGTGGTAGCATATGATGCTGTATCAAAATACCTAGTCATGATTTACCAGGGGTTATTCTTCCATTTTAGATCGAATTGTTCCAAAAGAATTATTAACTCTCTTTTTTTTTTTTTCTGGTTATAAACCTCAATGTTATCATGGCTATCATCTGCCAATGTTGAGGAATATGATGGAGGATTGTTGTCTATGTCTTGTTTGGATTTCATAAAATTCAAAATTATTTTGTTCATTGGGTGGTCTGTATTAAGACTTGATGTTCCTGTGATATTGGCAGCTATTAGCTGCTGATTTCATATCTGGGCTAGGATATTTCATCTGCCATAGGAAGATTCTGATTTTCCTCCTCGTCCCCTCCCTCGAGGAGGCCTATATGCAGGTCTCATATCCTGTCATAAAATAAAAGGAATTATTAATTCAAAAATTCTCTAGTAAGAAAGTCAGGGAGACTATTATCTGTCACTTTTTTGTAAATAATCTCAAAGTCAAATGGAGCTAACAGGGCTTGCCGTGTTGCAAACATCTGTTTAGAAAAATCATATTTACAATCTTTATTAAAGATAAACTTTGCTGCTTGGCAATCAGTTTTTATTAAAAACTTCTGATTGTATAAATCAGTCTAGAATTTAGTATACATTTTACTATAGCAAGGATTTCCTTAGCCACAGTAGCATAATTCTTTTGGAAATTATTTCATTTTCCCGAATAGAATTGAACAAGATATTCTTGTTTATCAGTTGGGGAACACTGTTTTAATATCTCGCCATATCCTATATCCGAGGTATCAGTTTCAACAACCTTTGCCCAGGTTGGATTAGCAAGTGTAAGACATGAAAGATTATTAACTTTTTGCTTAATCCGTCTGACCGATTTACTATGATCATCAGTCCATGCCTTTGGATTCTTCTTTAATCTTTCATAAAGAATTGAAGTATCCTTAGCAAGATCCTTTATGAAAGGAGAAATATAATTAAGGCTTCCTAGAAACCTTTGGAGTTGAGTCTTATCAGTAATGACATCAGGAAATTTAGATGCAAATTCAATGCTCCTTTGGATCAGAACTATTCTTCCGTTTTGGATATTATGATCTAAGAATCTTAAATTAGTCTGAAAAAGGGTCATCTTTGATTTAGAGATGAATAAACCATTTTGAATTATGATTTTTCTAAAAAGATCCAAATGTTTAAAATGAATTTCAATATTTTTTGAAAATACTAAAATATCATCAATATAAACAATTATAAAATTTGGATAAGGCATGAATATATCATTTATTATTTTCTGAAATTCAGAAGGGACATTTTTCACACCAAAAGGCATAACATTCCATTCGTACTGTCACATTGGGACATTAAAAGCAGTTTTATATTTATCTGACTCAGATATCTGGATCTGCCAATAACCAGATTTTAAATCAAAATTTGAAAATATTATGGCATCATGTAGCCTATCCAATAAATTCTTTTTATTAGGGATTGAGTATCTAATTGTCACGACCTAAAATCTCACCTATCGTGATGATGCCTATCTCAATACTAGGCAAGCCGACATTCTCAATAAAATACCATATCTTTGAAGTTTGAAACCATACTATTTACATTCAGCGGAAGAAAACTCACAAATATAGATATAAACACTCCCAAAACCCGGTATCACTGAGTACATTGGCATCTAATATGAATACAAAGTCTAATTGATAAAACACTGTCTGAAAGTATAGAACAATACAATAACTGAAGGAAAGAGAGACAAGGTTAGCGGACTCCAGGCAGCTACCTTGATAGTATCCAACTGATAGCACTCTGAGATCTAACAGTCGCCGTGTCCGAAAGCACTTGGATCTGCACACGAGGTGCAGAATATAGTATGAGTACAACTAACTCAATAAGTAACAAGACTAACCTCTGGGCTGAAAGTAGTGACAAGCTCCGCAGGTACAGTCCAGTATAAATAATGGTACAAAAATATAGGCATGCTTTCAAGTTCAACAGTTAAACTCAGTACAAGTGAAATAGATTAATACTGCATGATATGAGTAATATGACATCTCAGTAGAAAGACCTCATGTAACACTGGTCACAAATCATTCGGTCACTCGGTACTATTTATGGTCAATCAGCCCAGGGATATTCTATCCCGTATATATATACACATCGACTGACAGTCAGTCACTTAGTACCGTATAAGGCCAATCCAGCCCTGGGGTTATTTATTTTCCCGAATGTAAATAATACGGACAAGATCCATGTCCAAGAAAAATTCATCACAATACAAATAAGTAAGGCAAGTCCATGCCCTGAGAAATCCATCCCGAATATATAATCATCTACGCTCACTGGGGGTGTGTACAGACTCCGGAGGGGCTCCTTCAGCCCAAGCGCTATATAAAGCCGATATGGCCTACTGCGGCGTGCAGTCCGATCCCATAATCAAGTTTAGAAGTGTTACTTACCTCAAACCGTGTAATTTTTTATTCCACTAGGGCCTTGCCTCGTGAATTGGTCTCCAAACGCCTCAAATCTAGTTACAAATTATTCGATTCAGTCAATAAAATTTATTGGAATTAATTCCATAAGAAAATACTAATTTTCCAACAAAATTCGAAATTTAGCTGAAAAATCGACAGTGAGGCCCACATCTCGGAACCCGATAAAAGTTATGAAATATAAACGCCCGTCCAATCACGAGTCCAACCATATAAATTTTATAAAATTCCGACATCAACTCGACCTCCAAATCCGCAATTAAAGTCTATGAAAATTTATACCATTTTCAACCCAATTCACTAATTTAGGGATAAAAATAACAATGGATTGGGTTAGTTTAACAAAAATTGAGTTAAGAACACTTACCCCGATATTTTCTTTCAAACTCTCGCAAAAATCGCCTCTTCCCGAGCTCCAAATCGTTAAAAATGGAAAATGCGACGAAGTCCCATTTTTAGATCTTAAACATTCTGTCCAGGTTCGCATTTGCGGACAAAAACTTCGCATTTGCGAATGAACAGTACCTCCCATGAACAGTATTCGCAATTGCGATAAATTGTTCGCAATTGCGAACTGCACAAAAAATCCAAAAACATCTTGCGAGTGAACTGTAATCTCCAATGAACAGTGTTCGCAATTGCGATAAATTGTTCACAATTGCGAATGAACAATACCTCACCAGAAACCAGCAAACTCAATCTTCTCCAAAATGATCCGAAACCATCATGAAACTCACCCGGAACCTCCCGGACACAAATCATATATGAATTTCAATCATAAAATACGCTACGGACCTGCTTGCGCACTCAAAATACTGAAAAGAGGTTGTCTTGACCCGATATTGACTATGGTCAAACTCATAAATTTCTTAACTTTACTAGTCTTTCAACCAATGATCCAAAAATACATCCAAGCCCCTCGGGACCCATCAAATCATACCAAAAAGTCCTAAAGCATCGTACGAATATAGTCGAAACTTCAAATCACGTCAAACAATGCTAGAATCAAGAATCATACTCCAATTCAAGCTTAATGAACTTTAAAACTTCTAATTTATACAAACGACGCCGGAACCTATCAAATCACGTCCGATTGACCTCAAATTTTGCACACAAGTCATAAATGACATAATAGAGCTATAAAAGTTTTCAGAACTAGATTCCGACCCCTATATCAAAAAGTCAACTCCCCGGTCAAACTTCCCAAAAATTCAATTTTCGTCATTTCAAGCTAAATTCCACTACGGACTTTTAAATAATTTTCTGGACACACTCCTAAGTCCAAAATCACCATACAGAGCTATTGAAATCATCAAAACTCCAATCCGGGGTCGTTTACACATAAGTCGACATCCAGTCACTATTTTAACTTAAGCTTTAAACCTTAGAACTAAGTGTTCCAATTCATTCCAAAACCTCACCGGACCCGAACCAATCACCCCGGCAAGTCATATAACAATTGTAAAGCACAAATTGAGCAGTAAATGGGGGTGGTAATACTCAAAACGACCGTCCGGGTCATTACATTCTCCCCCACTTAAATATATGTTTGTCCTCGAACGTGCCAAGAGTTGTTTCCAAGCCATCACATCACTATTCCATCTTACCACGCACATATCCAGGGGTGATCTCACGCCACCCTATTCCATATGGGCCTGACAATACCACGTAATTGAAGATCATTACTTCAACCTTAGCCCATAAACCTTGAAACTCAATTTCAAACATTCAGAATTTCCTTTCAAGATCCGAATCTCATATCTATATACTGTATAAGTTTGAACCAGATGTATCAAGCTATAGCCATAACTCTAGATATAATCGGATATCCTACTACACAACTCGCATACTCGCAGCACCATTCTCGATCACAGTAACTACTCAAAACCAACTCGGTACTGGTATTAAACCCATATCAAACAAAACCTCATTCTAAATCTTCGTACACTACTGATAATGAAAGAAACATGCGGAATCTCATAACCCCTTATCAGATTAACAAGTCATGGAGCTTTCTTTCCCCAACCAAAATCATAATCATCTTCTAAGACGACTTTCAATATTATCATCCCAATATACCGTAATAAAATCTGATAGCACCCATTCTAGGTCTAATGATCTTATATTATTAAACACAACTATCCCACTGACATGCCACACCAATACAACTCAAGCCACAACTGCACAACCTTGTACCTAAAAATGGAAGATGTCTCAAAGTAGAGAGCCGTATTGCACGTTCAATAAGCACCACCACAATTGCATTGCTATAAGCTCATTATATATAGTAGAACCAAGACACATGAATTTAATAAGAGTAACCAGCCTTTCTAGAGCTCACATTATCATCACTCGCACGGACAACTCACGTGTTATAGTATCAATATCTGGACCCGCACAGACAACTCACGTGCCAATACTATAATTCGTCTGGCATGGTCACAATCCCCCAGTCCAAGCATATCATACTAGAGCAATCAAATAAATACACATGTATATGATAAATTAATTAAGAATCTCATGCTCTTGGACTGGTATAAATAACACACCATAGAGTAGGCATGTGTAAAGTGTGCTATCGCAGCTCAATCGGCAAGTTAACACAGAAATAAAAACTACCCAGTTTATTCAGGGAATTAGTCTCTTTATAACCTCAAGTGTAGTCCAGATAGTTCTCAACAAAGGTACGAATACGAGAAACGTTATAACTTTATGCTTAACAGTCAACTCTAGGCATATCATAGCCTAAGCATTCTTCTGAGTATGAATACTTGCCGCGATGCCCGCACACGGGCTCAAACCTCACATATATACGCACTTGTAGCGCGCAGCTATCACAAACAATTTACGTAACTAGTGCCTCCACTGAGTTTAAATAAAATACTCGTCTCAAACAGGCCGCAACCCTGAAATAATATGCTTTTGAGAACTCTCAGTCTCCGCATTCATAGAATACATAAATCACCACAACCGTTCCCAACTTCAGCACTTGAATGACTAATACATCTTTCACGTATGATCACCTCGCGAGGAATGCTTCTATAATTCTTCTGTGCCACATAGCAAAAAAAAATAATAATTGAATACCAGTAGTCTATCAACCAGGTGAGTACCGCAATACCATGAACATCCGTAAGTCAAAATAAAATGCGCCTTTTGAAATGCGCACCCTTCTGAGGGATTACCGAGCAGTTATAACATTCATCTAAATATCTGAAATTGACCATTCTGTCCAAAATTCGTGATCTTCCTTTCAAGAATGAACTGCCACCTTGTATATGTAAATCTAAATCCTGCACAACACACTACATCTATCATGGGAAAGGCATGAGAATATCATTATAAACTCTGAGTCACCAACAAATTACATACCCTATTAGTTAGAAACATTTCTCTTGCTTTTTTCCAGAAGGAAATCACCATACACAACATGTTTTCCCACACCGGCAGAAAATATCCGGCTCAAACTATGGTAGAAACCATCAAGAACACTTTGAAATCCATTAGCACATAACCAAGCTATCAGAACTGAATTCTTCTAACTCGACCAAGCCACACAGGTTGCCAAATCCGAGAGTATTGCCATAAAACATCCGTAAAGCCCCGCCTCATCATAAGAACCAAAAGAACCTAGCAT